CCCTGGAGCGCCGGCGGCGGCGGGAGCTGCTGCGGCGGGGCCGCATCTTCAACCCACGGATCCGCACCATAGGGGTGAGGGCGGGTAGGAAGGGAGGGAAGACGCCGAGTTCCTCCGCTGCTTCCAGGAGTTCTGAGGAGAACGGCTTAACGCGGGGGCGATCCCCAGTGCGGGCCAGGGAGGGAAGGGGCGGCTAAGGCGGTCTGGGCGGGCCGGGAGCGGTACCCCAGTGACCCCTCCCCAGGTGTGTGTGTGAGGGGGAGCAAGCAGGAAGGGAGGGCTCAGATGCAACTTTTAGAGTCGCGCTTATAGTTACTGGTGAAAGAAGTCACAGAATACTTAGGGTTGGAAGGGACCTCTGAAGATTATTCGCTCCAACCCCCCCGCCAAGGCAGGGTCAGCCAGAGCAGGTGACACAGGAACATGTCCATGGGTTTGGAATATCTTCAGGGGAAAACTCTGTGACCTCCCTGGGCAGCTGTTCAGTGCTCTGCCACCCTCGATGGAAACAGATTCTTCCTTCTGTCGAGGCAAAACTTACTATGTTTTACGTTATGGCCACTGCCTCTCGTGTGTACCCGTGCCCCACTGCTCTGGATTCAAGAGCAAGGTGTCATTGCCCCCTAACAGCACAGAGAGATCAAGCCTTGTGTTGTATCTCTGTGTAGTAGTACTTTGAAGGAATCCAAGAGCTTCTAGAGTCAGCTCATGTAATGTGGCTGAAACGAGTAATTGTTTTTTACCTCTCTGCTCCACGATACTGCCCCTTTCTGCTTGGACATTGCTACAATTGATGCTGTGAGAGATTTACTGCTGTGTCCTGCAATTAGTCCACATTTTGCATCAGACAAAACAAGACAAATCCATCCTTGTTTATATATGTCTAATTAATTGTTGTGTCTGATTTTTTTGTTGATGTCTATATGTGAACACCCTTCAGGCTGCTGGATTTTCTCCAGAGTGTACTGTGCAATTTGCATCCTGAACATCAGGGAATAATGTGCTCTATATCTACTTGACTTTTGATGCAATAGCATATTGAACTCCCTGTGATATGTCCAAAGGCTCACATTAAGATTTTATGAGTGTGCCTGGAGGGACGAGTGCTGTGAGGTGATTTCAGTGAACTGGTAGAATTGCAACAGCTGTCAATTGGATCGTCTTTTCTTAGGTACAGAAACATGACTCAGTGAAAAAATATCTTCACCTTATCTCTGACAGGGCCTTGAATTTATTCTTGTCACTCTTACGTAAGAGTCATTGTAACTGCAGAGCAATTAGCAGTTCCCCACTTAATGAACATGACATGTGTGTCCACCTCCTATAGCATCCCAACACACACCAACAATATACTTAAGTACCAAAAAATATACTTAAGTGCAAGGAAACAATAACACTTTTTAGCAGTTTTGGGATGGGTTGTAATTTCTTCATCAGAAACATATCCTTTCTCTATAAACTGGCTTTTTTAGAGCCTTAAAAATGAAGTGCAAGCCATATATTCTCAGTTAATGAAATAGCTGACAACTAACATATCCTGGTGTGTTTTATTGAGCCATACTGGAGTGCACCATTCGAAGGTTTTACTCAAATACTTTTGTAGAATTGACTTGTTTTGTAGAGCTGACTCTGGCAGGTTTTGATAGATCTGTTTACATTAGACAAACATCTAAAATGAAGGAGAGCTCCTCTGGGGAATTTTGATTAACAGTTTGTTTTGATTTAGCATTGTTCAGTGTACCTGAACAATGATGCTGACAGAAGGGACTGTTCTTATGCTTTGAAGTTAGGCCAGGTCTGAACCACAAAGGGCCAGGAAATCCATAGGAGATAATCTTTATTGGTATTTCTGTGTGGTTTTAAGATTCTTTGTGTCTGTTCTCTGACCAATTTACCTGAGTGGCAGTTGCTGACAGTATTTAAAAATCAGGACAATATTTGACTTAAAAAACAGAAATCCTAAAGCAGGGTTTGAATATTTTAAAAACATGGAGGTGATATACTGGAAAGCAGAATGGGAACTCAGATTTTACATTTTTTTTCCCTTGATTGTTACTAGTTTTATTATTACTTTGACTTCTGTATCTGTTTTGTCATCTGAGTAATGGAAATGTAAGATAATGCCCTCTTCACTTACAGATTGAAGAATTTATCCTCAGTAAATCACTGATTTTTCTAAAGAGTTCAGATAAGTAATACAAATAAAAAATTGCTTTCAATGTACATGTAAACTTTGTACATAAATAGAACTAGTTTAGAAATTAGCTGCCTCAAACTGTTCATAGATTTCTTATTTAAATGCTTAAAAGTGAAAGTTGTACTTTTCTGTGACTGGGGATGTCTGTTCTAGAGATGTTTTTGTGTCGAGTGAAAGTGTTTTGAAGAGGACAGAGCCAATAGTGTAACACAAGTTGATACACTGACCTACCTCTATTATTCCCAGAATACTAAGAACTTGTATTGAATTTCTCTTAACAGTATTTCCTGTAGTTATATTGTCAGCTTGGTTTTCCCAATGAGACCTCTGAAAGAATTGATATTTAGTGTCCACAACACCATTGTTTTTGGAGGATAGAATTCATGAAGGTTTCACCCTTGCTTACAAACTTACCTCTTTGCCTGACTGCTGCTGTCAATTGTTCTTTACAGCACCAACCATGTGTATTTTCAGCCATGATCTGTTTCTGTCTTCATCTGAATAGGTTCTAGACAAAGACTACTAAAATTGTTTACCAGATTCTTGAAGATTTGTCATTGTATTTTTGACAAAATTTTTTAAGACATTAGGGGACTTGATAGTAAAAAACAAAGAAAATAAATAAAACAATTGTTTCTGCCTATTAATTTGCCATTATCTGCCAGCAAATGTGGGGTCACATTCTTTTGCCTAAAATGGAGGTGTCTGCTCCCATTTGATGATCCCCCTTGCCATGGATGTGGATGTTCTGTACCATATCTGTCAGCTCATCACAGATCATGTACCCTGTACTGCATTTTGCCATGTAAATCTCTCTGACAAGACTGGAAACATTTCCATTCCATTCTTGTAGTGAACCTTCTGTATATTTTTCAAATATGAACTATTACAACTTCCTGTCATCTTTACTGTTAAAATACTTACCTGCTTTATAAATCAAAGCAGAACAGTAAAATAAAATTGCCAGCTGTAACGGGGAAAATATATTCTGTGTAATGCAGCTGAAAATATTTATAGCTCTGTGTATCACATAAAAATTATCAGATGAAAATCTGATCAGGTGCAAGAGCATACCTGTCATTATTAAAACAAAACAAACAAACAAGTATATTTCTGTTCCTGGATTTTTATTTTACCTACATTAGTAATGTGTACTTATTCCATTGCTAGTGGGGTTATATCTATCTTGTACAGCTGTGAGTCAATGTAGCTTTACAATACCTGTTTTAATTGTTCAAACACAGTATCTCCTAAAGAGCTACTTTTTTTTTTTTTTCATTTTAATAGATTGATAAAGATGCATTGGATGCGCAGGTCAAGGAGAAGAAAATTCAAGAAGCAGCTGAAAAAGCACAACATGAAAGATTTGGTATATTTCTAGATACTGTGATATATCTGTGAATAGTTAAATGTTTTAATCCATTTTCTGCTTTCTTTTATCCCTTAATATATTCTCTAAATTCAGTCATCCAATTTATGTCCTATTTATGTTCATACATCTACATTGGCATAGTATATATTCTCCTTGCTGTTTTAAGATTATATTGACATGATTAAGCATGGATACATTGCCTAATAGGCCAGAATCTTCAGTGTTTTCTTTTAAAAGGTATTGATGAATAGCATCATTTAAAAATCTGACTCTGCAGCAGGATTTAAAAAAAAATTAATTACTTACCACTGTCCTTTCAATATAGTAGTGGCTAATCTGTTTTAGTTGGTCTCCTGTAGAGTGAGCTTATTTTCTGTCTAGCCATTCTTCCATAGAATATATTGATGAGTGGAATCCTCTCTAGATTATTATTGCTGGAAGCATGAGTCATGTACAGTAAGGTGATAAGAGGAGCCATTGCTGAGTCAGAACTCACAGCCACACAAATATTCCATGCTGTGCCTTGATCAAACCCTTTGTGGTCTTCTGTGTTTGGTGTACTTTCTTTGTGATCAGGTGAAAAGGTCCCACAGCCTGAGCTCTCTGTGTGCCTCAAGAGGAACTAAAATGGAGCTGCCAACTTCCATGCTGTGCTTCTACTACAGCTGCTTGTGATTTTCCTGGCTTGAAAATATACCTCTCAGGGTCTGACTCCTGGGAAACTACCAGCAGCAATGTGTAATCTGGCAAAAGAGGAAATGAACTTTTCTAGCAAATTATTTTAAATAACTAAAATGGCTAATTTGGTGTGAGTTTTTTCTTAAAAATGCTGTCATTTATTTAGATTCAATTAAATGGGCAGGAGCACTTAAGCTGTTAAAAACTTAATGCCAGCCAATGATTTTATTGCTATGGTTAGAAAAATCATTGGAACTATGGAAGAGCTACCTATATTCCTTTCAGTTGCACCCCAATTTTGGTTTGCTTCCAACAGTTTGAAGCTTCCAACAAGCAACAATTTCAGCTGTAGCTGTAAACTATGGGTAAATGGGAACTGATTTACTGTACATTTCTTGTGTTCCTGCAGGTTTTCACCAAACAAAACCTCATAGTTTAGTAGTTCTTATTGTATTTGTTTCACATGCATATATTTAATTGTAGCATTAATAAAAATAAATAAAATTTATACCTAAAAAGATGAAAATATTTCATAAGTAAATATTACTAACATTAGAGTGTTTGCTGGGCTGGTACTTAAGGATCAAATGCTCTCCTAAGGCGTAATCATAACATAAAAGTTTGAAGACTTACATTCTGTTTATTCATCTTGAAAATTTTATTTCTACCTTATGTGTGCACTCCAATGACTCATGCACCTCTAGGAATTTTGGTTTCATTGTGTTAATTTTTGTCTAGCTCGTGACATGAAGAAAAATGACAAGCTCATGTGTCTGCTAGAAGAACAACAGAAAAATGAAATCAAAGACATGAATAGGGCTCTCATTGAATTTCACAAGAATTTTCAGAAGCCGGAAACAAGACGTGAATTTGACCTGAATGATCCACAAGCCCTAAAGAAAGACAGACCTGCTCGAGTTTCAGATGATGATCCTCGGTGTACTATATCTGGCATGCAGAAGTTTATGGGTGAAGACTTAAACTATGATCAAAGGATGAAGTTTCAAAAGGAGCAGTTAAGGGAGTGGTCTCTTCAGCAACAGAAAGACTGGAAAAATGCATTAGCTGACCAAAAATTGGCAGGTAACAAAAAAGATAGTGTAGTTTTAATCTTTTTCTGAAGTTGTGATGTATCTGATAAAAATAAGGTATACCCTATTGTATATTTAATTTCTAGAGGTACTGGAGCAGTTTTTGTATAAGCTCTAATGTATTCACTGTTTCTCTTAGGAAATCTCTATTTCATCACATATGATTGTAATATCACCCAGGTTTCATTTCTGGTTTATGCCTCCAGTAGGTATGCTTACTTCATCAGGCCAAACTGTCCAATCCGTACTGTCCTAGAGCAGAAAAAATAATAATGATTTTTCTTTCCCAGCTTGTCATGAAACATTGTTTTCTGCAGTACCTAAGATTCTTCTTTCATTTTAGCATTTCATTTCTTGTTCAGACAAGATAGGTTACATATTAAACTGATTCATTAGTCACCTGAAATCCCAAGATGGACAGCTTTAGTGGTAGGATTTGGAAATAGTTATTCAGCCTACTGTATCTGTAGCTTCCCCTGCCTCTTCCCCTGGTTAACTCCTTTGGCACATCATGTCCATGAATATTGACTAAATTTCATTTGAATCTAATTTAGATGATCTTTATGACAAGTTTAGGATTGAACTTGACCGAAAGATTATGGAGGAACAAAGAAAAGAAGAGGAAAGCAAGCGTGCTGTTTGTACAGCTACTAAAACTTTCAATAGAATCCAGGTAAATTAATATTAAGTTGGTTTGTTTGTTTTTTAGAACATGTGAAGACAGAGAAGGAAAATAAGATACACAAAATCAGAATGAATAGTGACGTTTTCACGGGGGTTTCTTAGGAGCTGACTTCCAAGGTTGTTTCAGATTGGAACAAGATAAATTTTATGTACTTTGCCAAGTGAATAGGGGCTCCAAGGATCTAGATGTCCTCTATCTAGTTATCTTCTGCCAAAATTGTCCCTCCTGGTTCTCACCTTGCTGGCTGGTGGGCAAAAACAGCTCTCCAGTCATTTGGGGGCTTTGAGCTGGTAAACTGGGGTACAGCAAATGCCTCCCATGCTTCTTTCTGGGTTTATATCAGTCCTCCCATACTTTTAGTGTGTCTGTCTGCTTTTCTTTGCACTTGTGTGGAAACATTACTAACAGTTGTTTATCCTTATAATTTACATTAACTCCCCACAACCACTGGTTTTGGCACTTTGGCTGCTTCATGGATATTTGTGTACAGTGTCTCTTGGTTTTTTACTGACCTTGCTTTGGAGCCTGTCTTAGTACTATTATCTGTTGTGCTCTAGTTTGTCATCTTACTGCAGAGGGTTTTTTTCTCTTCAGGTTCTACATAGAACTCAAAGGGTTACATGGATGTTATTAGCTTGGCTAAACTATATTTATTGTGAATTAGCTTTAAATGTATTTACTCACATTAAAATAAATTAAAATAAATCACATTAGAATTACTTACATTACATATGGTACTTTTTGGTTTAGCTGTATAAGCATGCAAGTCTTTAATGTTGCTTGACCTTTTTTGGGGGTATTTCTCATATAATTTTTTTTATAGACAGCCCAAGTTGATTGGAAATCAAAATCTAAAAGTACAGGAACAAGCCGTCCCCATGTGATGAAAGCCAAGCCAGTGGTGAAGACTAGCCTGGCTGAACATACAGCTTTGGCTGGGACTCAGGGAGAAAAAGAGTATTTATTACATTTGGAAGAAGGGATGGGCTACAATAATGTTGTGAGGTCATGCAGGGAGAAAATTAGAAGGGGCCAAAGCCCAGCTAGACCTTAATCTGGCTACTGCTGTCAAAGACAATGAAAAATGTTTCTAAATAAAAATGAACAGCAAAAGAAAGGCAAGGAGAAATTCTATCCTTTGTTTGTGGGGAAACAGTGATAGAGCATAGGGAAAAGACTGAGGTACTTAGTATCTTCTCTCCTTTGGTCTTCAGCCCCCTGAGCTGGAAGGCAGGGACAGGGACAAGAATGAAGCTCCCATATTGCAGGAGGGAATGGTCAGAGAACTTTTGTACAACTTAGACCCACAGAAGTCCACAGTGCCAGATGGGATTCACCCAAGGGTACTGAGAGAGCTGGTGACAATGCTCATGGAGCCACTTTCCATCGTTTCCCAGCTGAGCTGGCTCACCAGGGAGGTCCCAGGTAAAGGGGAGCTGGCCAGTGTGACGCTCCTGTAAGAAGGGCTGGAAGGAGGATGCAGGGAGCTACCGGCCTGTCAGCCTCACCTCAGTGCTGGGAAAGGTCATGGAGCAGATCCTCTTGAGTGTCATCATGCAACACGTACAGGACAACCAGGGCATCAGCCAGTCAGGGTTTATGGGTCCTGCTTGACCCACCTGATCTCCTAGGACAGAGTGACCCCTTCAGTGGATGTGTCTGCCTGGACTTTAGGAAAGCCCTTGACGCTGTTTCCCACAGCATTTTCCTTATGGCTTGGGCAGGGACACACACTGTTCACTGGGTAGGAGAACTGGCTGGACGTCTGGGGCCCAGAGAGTGGTGGGGAATGGAGCTACATCCAGCTGGGGCCAGACACCAGTGGTGTTCCTAAGGGTTTTTTAACACCTTCATCAGTGACCTGGACAAGGGGGTCAAGTCACTTTGTAGATGGCACCAAGTCTTCTGGAAGGTAGGAATGCTCTGCAGAGGAATCTGGATGTGTTGGAATAATGGGCCCAGGCCAGTGGTCTGAGTTTTAACAAAGCCAAGTTCTGGATTTTGCACTTTGGTCACAACAACACCCTACAGCTCCAAGATGGGGACTGTGTCTGCGAAGTGCCTGGCAGGAAAGGCCCTGGAGTGCTGGTGACTGTGGCTGAACATGAGCCAGCTGTGCCCAGGTAGGCAAGAGGCCAGTGGGAGCTTGCCTGGATCAGAAATAGTGAAGTCAAGATAAATCTGATGTGTTTTCAGAGTTTAAAATCTTGGCATTAATCATGGCATGGTAGTGTGGCATGCATGGCTGTACATAGGGCTGGGAGTTTCCTCCAGTAAGATTCTCAGACAGCTTGGAAATTTTATGCTCTCCCTCTTAAAGAGAAATCTCTAAGAGGGAGAGGAATCTTTAATGTTACGATGTTGAAGTGCCTTGTTTTGATCTGTTGCTAGATCACAGTAGAGTAACATTAAGAAGGTGATCTAAATAACAATTGTACATTTTAAGCTTCAAGGCCAGCAATTATATGAGATCCATTCAAACTTATTTTCTTTTAAATGTAATTTACTGTGGAGCTTTTCCAAATTACGAATCATTGCTTGATTCATAGTATTAATAAGGGAAAAGCATATACCCAGGTGTTCTGGTTCAGTGTTCTGAAAATACTGGGTGATTCAGTATCTTTGGGCATTTAGGTCTTAAAAGTTGTCATGTCAGAGTTCCTTTCAGGTGCATATTGACTCTTATTGAGGAAAAAAAAAACAGTTCAGGGAAATACATTTTGACTTTTAAAATTTTCTTTTAACCTTTTGATAAAATTCATGCTCACTAACATCAGAGATGGAAAAGTAGCCTTTAATTCCTACTGTGTTATTCCATGTTATGATGACGATGATTCTTAGATCTGATATTTGTCACATGAAACTTAATTTGCTTGAGGTTTGCCATTTGTGTAAAAGTAGGCATTTATTTTTTTTCCTTATAGTTGATGCTCCTGTTGGGTCTAGATGTTTCTAAATATGAGGTTTTTGGCATTGTCTAAGTTGAATGGTGGCTTAGCTAATGTATAATTTTTAAAAGTTAATTTATCTTTTATTACTTTCTTTGCACATCAAATACTTCTGTTATTTTAATGGAAACCACAAGGCTGTTTTCAGCCAAGGAATTTATTGATCTAAAATATGGTACTTAGTTGTTTCTTCTACCCATCACTGACAGGTGGTTTTGCATGTTTCCTTGGAGCAAACAAGTCACTCTCTGGCAGTCTCCCGGTCTGATGTTAGGGACAACCACTGTTATCCAGATTCAAAGTCTTTAACTACAAATGTAGAGATGATTCCAGTTTAGCAGTCTCCTCTGGTGGCATAGATCACCCTGTTCACTTTGCTTATTGCAATTCTTTTCCTTGGCATGTGCAGGGGAACAAGTTCTCGCATGTGTCTGAAGTCCTGTCATTCCCAGTTGTTTATATCTTCTAGTTACTCTGCCTGCTCATATTAACTCTACCTTACATGGCACAGAAGGCTTCACCTGCTCTTTCTTATTGGAAAGCCCTTCCGTTTTCATTTGTCCTCATCTACTTTGCCAGTGCAAATGTGCTTACCAGTGCCAACTGATCAGCAAGGAAAGTAGGAGCTGTTCTACATACATGAATATTCTCAAGGCAGTGATTTTTTTTAACAGGGCATCTCAGTCAAAGTGGAGACAGAATTACTCACTGATCTGTTGCAGTCAAGACAGATGTGTAAAGAGAGACAGGTCTGGCAGCCTGTGTCTGTGTGCTCTAGCAAGCAGGAGGTTTTCCCTGTCCTCTGTCCAGTGGAAGCTGGAACCAGGCATTGCTCCAGATAGTTTAGCTTATGCATTACAGAAAGATGAGATAGTATTAGAAATGAAAGATGCGTAGCATTATCATTCTACTTCAAGTTAGTTTACTGAGTCTAATTCTTCCTTGAAAGGTAATTATGTTCACTAAGATCATTGTATTTTGTTTCTGGAGTATTGTAAGGGGGAAATTTCCTTTGAATAGGAGACTGTGCCTTGTGGTGAACATTAGGAACAGTGATTTCCATAAAAAATGCATACTGTGATCTCCAGTTCCAGTATTTCAGATACATTCATGTAACATGATTCAAGTTGGCATTTTGTCTCAGCAAACAGAATCAAGGCTGCATCTTCAGACTTTAATTGGACATCTCCTGTCTGTCTGTTTTGAGGGCTTAACCATGCTCTTCACCTAGGTTCAGTATGTAATAGGTAAATCAAGGCAAGTGATTCAAGATTGTAAACTTTTATTGTAAATTTCTATCATATTGTGTCTGTCTGCTAAATAAATACTGGTTATTTACTTGGGGATAAATGTGGAATTATTTATTTAATTCTGTGTTTTCTTATACAACAGTTATTTTTCCCCAGTTTACTTGATATATGTGATATGACAACATTAAAGAACTGTTTGATATTAGACTTTTGATCTTGGCCAATAAGACTGATGCCTAAACTCTGCCTAAACTAGACAGAGTTAAAGAAATACAGTAGCTATTTATTAAAAGGCCTTCAAAGGATACACCTGGGGCAGTTCAAGATCCTGGCCGTGGACCTACCCAAGATGGACTCTAGATGGATGCAAGATGGTCATGAGTTTTCACACTTTTATAAGTTTTGGTCCATTTATGTATTGGGGTTTATTGTCCAGTTACAGCTTCAGGTTATGAAGTCCCATCCTCCCAGTTTGTTCTCCTCAAGTCGTTGTTGTTTGTACCTTTTTGAGCCTGAAGCTGAAATGGTGTCCTTGGTTCTCAGGCTGGAAATGGATTGTTTTTCTAACTACCCTGTGAAGAGAACTTGCTAACATTTTATGTGAAGTTCAGAGTCACACTAAGGCAGTACAGAATCTGGAAAATATGAAAGCTAAAACTTAAGGCATCAAGACAATGATCACAGTATTTGTATGTGATGCTTTTGACAACTGTATGCCAGTTGGAATGACATCTGTTACGATGTGTTAACATTTTTTCATCTCTTAGTTCATATTTCTCTTGGAAAAATACCACCTCTCTTTCCATTGAATTTAGGCTGCTGAACTAGATCATAAAAATGAATTGGAAAAGGCTCAAAAAATAAAAGATGACATGGATGAAATTACCTGCCTTCTTCAAGGAGACTTCCTTTCTGAAAACCCTGACCAAGCAATTGGTCCCTTGGGTAAACATCATGTGCTTGTGGATAGGTGGAAGGGAATGAATCAAGAGCAGCTGATGGAAATTCGTCAATTTCAAAAGGAGCAAGCTCTGGAGAAACTGGTATTTAAGCTTACATTTGTTTTCATGCATTTTCTGCTTTCTTGGTTGTAATAATACTATAGACAATGTTTGTAGAAGAAAAATCCCATTGTTTGCCCTGGGCATGCCAGTATGAGACTGTGTTTTCCACTGATCTGTGTTTTACCCAAACTTTAATCAGTCTAATTGAACATAGTGCCTCTGAAGCACTTTGGAGATATCATGGAGAAGGATGGTAGCCCTGAGTTGGACTGGGAGGAGGGTTGCTGAGGAGCCCAGGGCCAAGGGGATCTTAGGGCATGGTCCATGATGATCCAGCTGGGCAGCAAAGTCCTGCCCAGCCTAAGACCAAGGCTTCATAGTGCAGTTCATGACCTGAGAGTGCACAGGCTACCTTCAGGGAGTGGGCTGCTCCTTAGGGTAAGAAGATCCGGGAGCTGAAGGTGAAAGCAGGGCATTCTCATGCTCAAGGGTACCCAAGCAAGGCAAATAAACCAGGTCCAGTGACCTTGCTCATGCATATTTCAGAGGCCTATAAGTTAATGAATGTAAGAATATGATGGAGTTTAATTTCTAGCATCCCACACAACTATGAGCCATGCTGTAAAATAGAATTTTAGTGGTAACAGTTGCTGCTCTAGAGGTGTATAGAAGCAGGCAGTCAAAATGAAGACATTGTGAAGCAGGAAGTGACTTGCCTCAGTGCAAAGGCTGCATTTATGACAGCTAAGGAATAGTGTTTGATTTTGTCTTTTAGTCCTTGCAATACTGTAGGCTATACTATCTTGCCTAGTAGTGTTATTAAAGCTGAAGGTAGAATTGGCATTTTCCTGCTTCTTCTATTACTCTGAACCCATTCAAGTCATTAAGCTGGCTGAAAATTAGTAAAACCAAGAAAAGTAAGTTTTTTGCAGGCCTGATTTTTTCATTCTGTTCAATGGGGTGTCAGGTAAGAAGTGAGGCAGAGGAAAAAAAGAGTCTACTCATGTTTGTAGCTCCCCTGTTATACTGAGTTAGCCATATTATAAGCCATACTGATTTCTATGCACTTCTTGCCTCAAGAAGTTTCAACTCTTGCCAAGAAGAGTTTTTTAAAAAAAAAAAATCAACCTGTCTTGCTGCTCTGGATTTTTACGGAGAGAAAAGAATAGCTCTTTCATTGGCCTCATCTTGCTTCTGCTTGGTTTAGAAATCCTTGCTCCCTTCTCCCCATTTCAAATTCTCCCCCTAGTGTTCAATAAAGGCAAGCAAGTTTGTTTGGATGAACATACCCATGAGAATTTATGTATACAGTTCTGTCTTTGAAAGAGAAAATGAAGTATTTTTCTCACTCCTGTAGAGAGTAAAAGAGCAGGAGCGCCGAAGAGATGTTGAATGGGACAGGCAACGCCTACAGGCTGCAAGGGCCCAGTTGCTTTGGGAGCGGCACCAGCAGCGGCAGAATCAGGTTCAGCGCCGAGAATTAGATTTCATGAACGCAGAACTCTCTCAGGAGCAAAAAGCAAAGTAAGTACCAAACCAGCATTGTTCAAATAAAAAAAACTCTTTATCATTACTAACCCAGTAGCTTGGCTTTCAAAGAGCTTTTTTACTTGTTCAGTTTGTAACTTTTTTAATACACTTGCTATGAGTTCATGCTTTTAAAAAAATCAACAATTCATCTGAAGTGTGTTTTCCAGTATTATTTAATAAATCTTCAGAGAGTAGGTTTTGAGTGTTACTGACTGGCATGAATTAATTAGGATCTGGAATTCTTCCAAGCATTCCACTGACAACAAACTGTTGATATAGATGGCAAAATAGAGAATAAATATAATTAGCTACACAGAAAAATGATACTATCAGGTGAAAAGCAGTTTCTTTGATTTACCTTAGTTTTCTGAAACAAAAAAGGATGAACTGCCAGTAGAGCTGCCAGTTTCTGATAGCTCAGGGTTAAACTAGCAGCACAAGTAGCACTTCTATTATGTATGACAGAACTTTCACTAATCACTGGATGTCTCTTGATGGGCTGTTCTTGTGTCTGCTCTTATGGGAAGGGAGGAAGATAATACATACAGGAAAAAGAAAAACAAATGTAAATGTTTTTCCAGTTTGTTTTGTTTTGTTTGTTTGTTTTTGTTGTAATTTTTTTTTGGCATGAATACAGAATCACAGAATAGTCAGAGTTGGAAGGGACCTAGAAGGGTCGTCAAGTCCAGCTCTTACATAAATGGCCCATATGGGGATTGAACCCGTGACTGGCATTATTAGCACCATGCTCTGACCAACTTAGCCAATCTCAGGTTCATAAATACATTTTACAAATGACTTTCCAATACATAATGACTTCTTATCATGAAAACAAAAGTTTGGAATTGTGTTAATTCAGGCTTTTTTACTGTTGAGATTTTTGAAGGGATATTTCATGAAGAAAAATAGAATAGAAAAATAGGAGTTTGCTATATTGCAAGAGATGTGGCATATATTTTGCAGAACAAATTCTAGTTACATTAAATTAAATTTCTAATAATTTACGAACATTTATGGGTGTTAATTCATTATATCTTTTTCAGGTTTCTCAGGCTACTTCTGTATAATAGCAAGAAAACATTTACTAATGGCTTTTAAATTTTTTTCTTTATTTCTAGGAACATTTATCTTAAGGAGGAAGAGTATTCAAATATTCCAACAGATGAGTATTACGCACAGTTTAATACAACCACTCGGTAACGATCGGGCTAAATCAGCCTGAACTATACAGAAGTATGTAGGCACATTAAAATTTTCAGTTGAGCAATCCCATGTTTTATTGTTTTTATGTGTTCCCTGCCCTCTTGAAACACTGCACTCAAACTAAAGGACAGTCTCCTAGGCCAGATCTGTTCTAAGAACAGGAAAACATGGTAATAATTTTTACACATGATTGTTTTTCTGAAAGGACTAGTAGATTCAGTATTAGGTTGTTTGACTCTTAAGTCTCAGGCTTAGCTGTAACACTTATATTATTCATGCCCATAGGAATCAATTTCTGGAAAGAAATCTGAGTTTAAACTACAGTGCTGCTTTATGCAACTTGGCCAGAGGGGAATGCTGCCTCCTGTAGACCACAAGTGATGTACTTCTCTGGGAGAGAAGAAAAATGACATAGGCAGAAAATTTTGGGTTGGTTTGGTTGTGGTTTGGTTTTGGGCTTTTTGTTTTGGATTTTCTTAAAGTAAAAAAAAACCAGCCAGACACAAAGGCAAGAAAAAAGGAAGAAGTGGTCAAGTTGGTCAGAAACGTTACTTTTATTTTGTGAACAGTGGGAATAAGGAGATAAGAGTTCAATTGTCATCGAGGTGATCAGTACACTCAGGTGTGGCACTGAAACAGGATGTGTTAATGCAGAAAAGCGGGGGGAAAAGTATGCCTACATACACCTACATGCAATATGTGTGTATTCCTACATACATACTGGAAATAATGGAGGAAGTTTCAGGTAATGTTCTGCTGAAGGAGTGTGGGGACAATTCAGAGTTGTGACAGAAGAGGGGTGAAAAAGTAGATGTGCACCAAAGAAAGTCAGGGAGAAAAATCTCACCTTGTAATTCAGGGAACCCGTGTACTTCCTGTCTTCATGGTGACAGTATTGACTTAGCAATTAAATAGCCAGTCACTGACATCTGAAACATGAACAAGCACAACTCAGAGGAAGAAAATATGGAGAAGCAATGTTGGAAACCAACTGCAGAAGAGAAATGCATGGTGGAGCTAACAAGGAAATGAAAACCAGAAGAGAAAAAGCTGACATGGAAAGGACTGCAAAAAGGGTTAGAGGACTAACCCTAGGAGTCAGAAGATCTGAAAGAGGAGAAAAAATGAGAGTCAGATGAGAGATTCAGCTAAGAATCCAAGACCTCTAATATTGTGAACCTTTAATAAAGATAGAGCTCATTTATGACAATAGATCTCAAACATATGCCAGCATATGGGACATAAATCTGAGATAAAAACATCTTGATGATATTGGCGTGAAGTCCACTGGTTGTTCTTTGTCTCAGCAATAATGGTAATGTTGAATGCACTTCGTAGTGCAATAGGTTGAAGATGCCTCCACCAAGCAAAGGAGGAAAGTTACTTAAAAAATAATGAGCTGAGGTAAACTTGAACGAATTATTCTTATATCTGTGAAAATAATGAAGAATGCATGGTTCTTGAGATATTAGTAGGAGGATTTTAAGATGTTTGAAGGAAGCCTTTCTTGAAAGGGGACTGTTCAAACAGTTCTGTTTGCTCAGCTGAACTAGTGCCCGTGGGATCACACTGATAAAATCTTGCTGCCTGATTCAAAATGCTGATTAAAGAGGAGTTCGGAAAAGAGCCATCATGTTAGTGCCTTTAGATAGAGAAGTGAAAGAAAGTTAAGGAGAGCATTCAAGTGGTTAAAGAAGTGCCTTTCAACATGATTATCTTGAGCAAAAAGATATGTCCCAATTTTAGTACTTTGATACAATTGGAATTAATTGTAGTATAGATAGACGCTAAGTAGAAAAGAAGTGTGGCTGAAATACAGGAACTGAGGAGAGTTGGTAAATGAAGTTGAGAGGGGATCACATTTGTACTGTTAATAATGATCTGGTCTATGAAGAAGTAAGAAGGAATGATACTCAGAAGATTCCAGTGGGATAGCATTTGGAGATCCATTTTTCAGACTGAGATTCACATATGGCTGAATCTGCTTCGAGCATTACCTAATACCATATTAAATTGACAACCTCTGGAGTGCAGTTATGTCTTAGAATAGACAGGCCATCAAATGGGATGGGTGAATTAATATTTCATCTCTAGTAGTTCTCATGTCACTAAAGTTGGGTTTGATCTGTGTTGAATATCTCACTCTTTTTTACCTAGAATTTTAGTTGCCTGACAGAAAAAGTGAATAAAGCGTGTGCTGAAAAGTTAATGAAGTTGTCTTCATTTGTCCAACTTGTGTGACTAGATGCTTGCAGACTTTACAACAGCTCTACAGTTTACCTAAATGATGCTGGACCTTGTCAGATGATGTTAGAGTTTCCTTCAGGAAGGACTATGGGTTTAAAGCCTTTTTGCATTACCTGTTTGTTTGCTTGGAAACATTTTATATGAAGTCAGAGAAGGATAGGTTTCTCAGTTGTACTCTGAATAAGCCTTTAGATGGAAATTCAAGTAAGACTGATAGTTCAATAATTGCTAGAAAACTTTCAGAATCATCAGTCATTGTCATGGAGTTACTTTACCTTTAAGGGAGTTGGAGTTGCTGGGAACTGCCTGGAGTCTTTTCTCCTGACCAATTATCGGTCATTGCTGAGAATTGACAGTAGTTTAGGCCATTGAAAAGTGGGATCAACTTGTGAACCCTACCTTAAAGTGTAAAACCAGAGCTCTCTTGGTTCTCTTTGTTTCTTGTGAAGGGTGGCGGAGCTCCAGGCCTCCCGTCCCTGCCCAGGCCATGCGGCCGGGCGGGGATGGGGCCGGGCCTGCCCCGTCTCCCGGCTGGGAGATGGGGGGGCCTGGGGAAGGTTTTCCTCGGGCCCGGGCCGGGCTGAGCCGATCTCTGGCTCGGCTGCAGGTTTTGCTGTAACTACATTCACTAGAAACTGCCGAGTGAGAGAGAGAGGCTCAGGACCTGCAGCAAGCTGGAGCAGCGACCACACTCTCCAGAGCAGCTATGAAGAACCTTCCATCACAGACGGCTCCAGCTCCTGTTCGGCAGAGATCTCCGAACCATCTACAAAAGCCTGGGCAAGATTTTAACTCTTTCATTACCCAGATGAGACTTGCAGATTAATCTTTTTATCCAGAGAGAGAGAGAGAGAGAGATCAACATGAAAAGAGACTTTATAAACTACCAGTGACAGGAAAGTAAAGAAGCTTCTGAAGAGGTAGAGAATTAAGAAGATGCTTTAATTAAGCTGAAATATCTTTCTGTTAAAACTATGGAGATGGACAATGAAGTCCTGAAAAGAACTCCTTTAATTCATGATACAGGATCTAGGGAGGAATAGTGTTCTAAGTGTAAATTTTGAGTAAAAAGTAGAGTAATTATGGTATAGTGAAGTGCTGGGAGATTTGAAGCCTTGAGAGGCAATGAGAAAACTGTTTTCTAGCAAAGCTCACAGAAACAGATGAAGAAGACTTTTTTGCCTTTGAATAACTTATCCTTAAAAATGCTATCTCTAGACTCATGGCCCATACACACTTCAGAGTGATGTGAAAATGGGAGGAGTGAGCTCTGATAACAGCAGCTCTGAGCAGCTAACATTAGGGCAATAGAAAACTATAACAAAAATAGTTTTCTTGTGAGAAACTCCATAAATTAACAGGAAGAAACTTCTGTTTCTCTACAAAGACTGGTGAAAAGACTGTAGCAGGAATTGGGACTGTTTTAACCATCAAAGTTCCAAAGTTTTTGTCTCTGTTGTCATGTCAGCAAGGGAATAGTGGGTAGATAGGGGATGAAAAGGTTTTTCTGGAAGTTTATTCTGGTGTTCTTATTATTGTAGTTTGTCAATAAACTTTCTTTTTTTTTCTTTTAAGTTTTATGCCTGTTTTGCTCTTGTTCTAATCCATATCTCACAGCAAGAAATAAGTAATTTTCTTAGTTACTGGTTTAAAACCACGACAGTCATATTTACAACATTCCATTCTGCCTGTTGCTTCAGAGTATAAAAACTGAAATTTATTTTGGGTGTTAAAAAGGAAGCACAATGAAGTTGTAGATAACATTCTTAATGTAAAGGGGAAAAGGTCTGATTCACTGTCACTGATATTTTATACTTGCTTTTATCTTGCACTGACATAAGCTGTGTTTTCAGTAAGTATTGCCTAAGCAGGTGATAAGAAAGAATTGAAGTGCAGGAACTCCTCGAGCCTGTATGGCTTTGTAACAAGCAGGCTGTGAGTGGTTATCTTCACCTTTTGAAACATCACTCTTAACTTCTACTGCTGAGTTTTGAAATAAGTAGAGAAGATCAATTAAAAAGAGCCTTAGCTGGTTGTAGGTATTTGAAAATGTCAGTTTCTATTAACTGGAGTAATAAATTTTTTGTGATATTTGTAGATATTTCTATTAAATACAGCAGTGAAAAAGACAGTGTCACCGATATGATCAGCTAACTGGAATGAGTACAAATCACAGCTGCTGGAAGGGATAGTAACCATCTCTCCCTAAAATAAATTACATATATTTTGTTTCTTAAGAAAGACTTTTTTAAAAACTGTGAGTATGGCATAAGAAGTTTCTAACATTTATCAGTTATTATAATGGTCCTTAGAAATAAACACAATTAATTAGATTAAATGGTCTTCATGGAGCTTCATTGAAGTAATTTGGGTAAGATGCATGTGCTAGGACCTGATTTCAGAGAGGAAAATTATATCATTTTTATCATCATCTATAATTTTTAAATTTGTGGTTTTTATTCACACAGTTTTCCACACTTCTTTGGATCAACAATTTGGGAAAAGAATAGGCATTTAAAGTTTAAAAAAGAAGTTACAGTGGTTGACCTGAGTCCAGTATTCTACTTCCTCTAGGGACTATTGAATATTTATAATATTTCTCTATCTTAACTCTGGAGCAAAGAGTCTGACCCAAGGAAATTCTTAGTTAGTGTACAAGATTTTCATGACAATAAGTATTTTTTGATATGCTTGTAGAAATTCTTTTCTATGCTTGTAGATTCTTTTTTTGTTCATTGACACATGATCTAGCTAATTATCTATGAAAATTAGGTGTGTTTGTGTCTCTCATTGATAGTGATGTAATGCAAAGTGTATAGTTA